GCCTTTAATATTGAATGAATGAAATATCATCATTACTGTCATAAATCAAATTTTGTTTCATCTTTTGGCAATACATACAAATTTTGTTTCATCTTTGGCACACACACACACACATATATAAAAATTTACATTGTAATTATACATGTTAAAAATTAAATATACATGCACATCTATATTAAAAAATAATATTATTCTTTTCTAAATGTATATTTGAAATACATACATGTATATGTATATATAATTTTCTTCCTTGGTTATATTATTGTGTTTGACTCAGTCTAAAAACTTTCTATGACATTCTTAGGCTATTTGTATTCTAAGCATTTTCTTTCATACCAATTTTATCAGAGAGGATTTCACGTGAAGTTTATTGACTATGGTAGTAGTGATAATATGAAAGGTTTGAAAAAACAAAAAAATAGAAACCTATGCTTGAGTTTGAGCCAAATGCTATTTGTATTTGCATAACCTAAGCTTACTGCAATCACTATATACCTTATATAGCATTTGGTTGAAACAGTATCTTATTTCTCCTAGTTTGTTATGCAATATGTTGACAGTTCATTCTCATGCATCTAAACATTTTTGTTAGTCGACCACATGACATAGTAAAAGAATGTTTGCTTTGTTGTGCCTTATGTATGAAAAAACCATTCTGTATTTTTTCCAATTTAACAATTTGAAGTATCATCTATAGTATCTTCATTTCCCTTATTATTAAATGATGAGAAAATATTTTTTAACTCAGTTTTGTTTTAAGTTTGAAATTTATTTTCTTTATTATTCTCTGACTGTTAAAAGACAATCTCAGCAATAAAAGTGAGTCAGCTTTTGTAAAAGTGAACAAGCTTTTATGTTTATAGTTGAAGAGAGGAAAAAAAAATAGAAAAAAGTACAAAGTGAATTCTGAAAGTGAGGTACTATATTCACCTTGAAAATGATGTTAGTTGAAATATTGTATTAAAAATAACACAAATGTTGTCCAAAAGCATATGGAAGGATGAAAATACTTAATCTTGGAACTTCAGAAAATAAGTGAACCAGTTTTTATAATCAAAATTCAAAATAAATAAACTATTGATCAAAGTCTATCCTTTTTCCAAATGAATTTTTTTTTTATTTGGAATGATTTTTTTCTTGGCAATGTTGCAGTATTAGTAGCAGTATTAGGAAACATATTTTATGAGAGTAAAATCATATGGTTTACTCATCTTATTATGCATGACAGGAAGTTGCCATCTGTAGCTTAAAGAATGATCAAATACACAAGAATATAGATCAACTTAATTTATGAAAGAAAATTTTAATATGTGCAGAGTAAAGTACACTTCATTGTTATTTTTTTAGGATTAAATTACAAAAGTTTTATATTCAAATATTTGAGGTCAGATTTATACAGCATAAAATATTTTAATGAAAAGAAAACCATCTTTGGAGTCTCTTCATTTATTGTTTCTAAAATTTACTGCTTTATACAATCAATAGAAAAAAGATAAGGATATTGATCTGAACAATTCATGTTATATAATTAGTTAAAAATTTTAAAGGTTTAATCAGTGGTAGCAAGAACACTTGACTATAAAATTTGTTACAACAGACTATGATGAATGAGCAAGCATAAACAATTCTTTTTTATGCCATGTACCTTCAGGACAGAGGTGATCATGTCTCTCTAAAGTTTTCTTATTTTTATTATCTGTAAATTGCCATGGCACCCTGGAAAAGAAACTAGAATGGATCCAATTACCTTTTTTAATTAAGAATTGAATTAAAATTTTTCTTTAAAGTTGGAGCCCTGTATACTCTGCTATTTAGTGCAGAATTGGGTGCTATAAACAATATTCACCATATATCATGGCATACTAATCAAATTAGATCAGGTACTTTAATTCCTAAAATTGTTGAGCTATTTCCAATGATTTCTTAATAATATTAACCATTTGACATTTTCTTAAAAGTCATTTTGTACACATAAACTTTATTTACCCTGAGAATTATTGAATGACTTGCATAGTTTAAATTTACTTTTGTGATTTAACTGCTTGAATTTTATTTTAGTTTGATTTAACTAATTTATCTGCTGAAGGTTCTTTGACATTACCTGAACTTCTGAGATTGATTATATGAGGGGGTGTTGAAAAGTTCTCGGCCCAGCTAAGACATCCTTCCAGAAAAAAAAATAAAATAAAATAATTATCTGATGTTTGGTTAGGTTTTGGGAAGTGAATCAAGCAAGAAACTTTTCAGCACCCACTTCATATTCCATGAATTCTTTAGACATGTAAAATCATATGTATTGTTCTGATCTTAATTTCACAACCAGGGCACTTTCTGGTGTTTATTTTGGTGTATACCATATTTAGTAACCTTTATGGAATTTTAAATGGTATCCTTTATTTCATTTAAAGGTAGGTATGTTGTACTTTGTATCCATTATTAGAGTGCAGCAATTTTTAGAGAGAATAAGAGCATATGGTTGTAAAGTTTATATTTCAATAATCTATTATATGAATATCACATTATGGGATACTGTACCATTAGAATTGCTTAAAAATTTTAAATGAAGCACTGGTTATATTCCAGGAATTCTTCATAGCAGAGCATCTTGATCTGTAATGTTTTGATTATGCTTCAGACAGAGAACATTCTGATGTTTTCTGTACTGTCAGAGATATATATTTGAGAGTTCTAAATGCAACACTTTATTTCATTTGGAGATGGGATATGTTGTTCTTTTTCTTCCTTATCAGTTTGTGGGACATTGTAATCAATATATTCATCTGAATAATCTATAGAATCATACTATATGATTAGTTTCTAACCTGTAATGGTTTGATAGTATTAAAAGCAATTAGCTATAAAATGTATGTTTTAACAGCCTATGATGTATGTATATATATAACTAACAGGGATACCAGCCTTGCCTAAGTTTATAGATATCTACAATAACTATAATTACATATATTTATTATACTTTATATTAATTACTTCAAAAAGATGCTGACAGTTTTCACTTGGTCTGGAAATGTTGATTCTATCAGAATTGTTACATTCCCAGAATTCATAATGTTATTCTATTTTATTATTTATAAAAATTAAGAAAAACTTGGAGATATAAATATACACACTTTTATTAATCTTTTGCAGGATATCTAAATACCAGAATTAACCTACAAAAAATGAAAGTTTGGATTTAATTATTTGCTCTTGTCTTTCATAACTGATTTAAGTAATAAGTAATTAATATTAATTTAAGTCAACTTAAAATTTTATAATTTATTTTAATAACATAAGCAAAGCTAAAAGATCTATTTGACCCACTCATAAACAGAGTTAGAAAAAAATCATATAGCCTATGACCTTTACCTTCAAAAGATATACCACTTTGCCAAATTTCAGTTTCCTATGATAGTACATACTAGACAATCTCCTTAAAGATGAAGAAGAGACTTGAAGCAACAGAGATGCAGTTTTACATAAGGATGTTGAGAATACCATGAACTGAACATGTGAACAATGACAAAGTTTTAGAGAAAATGTGTTGTGGAGTGATTTCACAGTGGAGGCTTGTATTTCTACTAAATCGGTTCTAAAATAGGTTTGACGTACAAAATGTTAGGAACTTGATATAATAGGTATAACGCAGAGTAATCTAGTTGTGGTCGCTGATACTTTCGTATTCGACTAACTGTCGTCCGACATCGACTGACTCACCGACTCCCTCATTACTCTTACTACACCTACTTATTATAGGTGGGAGAGTCTATCAACTATAGAATAGGTGTGTTCCACCATAACAAAATGGTAACAAGAAGGACACTTACACTTATCAGGAAGAGATAGTTAAAATTTCTAGGGAACATAATGAGGAAAGAGAGCTTGGAAAATTTGATACTCACAGAACAGATTGAAGATAAAAGGAAAAGAGGAAGACAATGCATAACCTACCTAGTGAGCTTGATTAAATAGATGGTGGAGCAAGGTTTAAGAGAGATAACAAAAAGACAAAAGTTATTAAGAGCGACAAAGGATAGAAAATTATGGCGAGCCATGATCGCCAACATCCTTAAAGGACTTAGCATATAAAAGTAAAACAGGAAATCTTGGTAAGAGAAGAAAATGAAGACAAATACATTTATATTTTAGTGCTGATTTCATTTGAATCTAAAATACTTAAGGATTTGGCTTTTATTATTACTGCACTCTGACTTGAAAACTCTTGATTAACTTCAGTTTTTACTGTACAAAAGACAAAATAAATAAAAACAATATTTCTGATGTTTCATCACTGAATTTTGCCTAGTTTCAGTATTCATTCTTAATGAACAGGAAAAGATTGTTAGTAGCCAAGAATTAAGCCAAATATGACTGACAAACTTGGTCCATTTCATGCATTAGGTATGTACAAAGTTTCCAGAAAAAAAGAAAATCTGTTTATTTAAAAAAGGGGTATTTATTTAAAAAAAGATAATCAGTATCCCAGTTTGTTGTATCAAAGCATGAGTATTCTCACAATTTCATTATATTCTGCATATTGTGTATTCATGAACTTGGGACAAGTTAATTCTTATATTTTTTTTATTATGATAATGATTTTATATTCACTGCAATTGCAACTGAAGCACAAAGTTTTCTTTGAATGAAATAAAATTTTACATTTATTTTAATCTTCAGCCTGAATTTATGTCATGAAAATAGAAAAAAGCTATATATGGGTAAATCAGCAAGATTGATTTGCTTCTTACAGCTTATCAACCCTTTGTAGGTTATTTTAAGCCAGAAAATATTGTAAGTTTGTAAGAATTTTTTTTAGATACTAATAGTTTAATGAGACAAATCTTACTAATTAATCCATACCTGAGGGGATAAGAGGTAGATTCATATGTTTCCCAAGAGGATTTGTGTGTAAGTGAATATAACGAGCCCAACAGGAATTGAAACTCGGCTCTCTAATTAACAATTTCAAGCCATTATCTATTATACCATCTGCATATCCAAGCTTACTGCTCCTGGTATTCCCAAGCAGTCACACTTCTAGGTACTGACCAGGCTCAACATTGCTTAACTTTGGTGATTGTATGAGAACAGTGTTTCAACGTTATGTGGCCATAAGCTCCAAATCAGTAAGTCTGCAGCTAAATGATGAAAACAAATTTATTTTACATAAATGCTTATTTTTCAACATGATCTCCTTCTTTCTTGATGCACTTAATTCAGTAGTGAATAATAATCATATAGGTCAAACATTATGCAGTAAAAATATCATCAAATTTTAGCTAATAACTATGTATCAGTCTGTGGACTTATTGATGCACCTTCATAGGTTGTTATTAAAATCAAATCTTAAAATACCTTTTTTTAACTTAAAATAGCATGGTAAATATACTTTACTAAAAAAGAAAATATTTTTAAAATTATACAAACTAACTTATCTCTTATGCTTTCAAAAAGTCCTTTAGTTTAATTAACTTTACTAAATCTTAGTTCACTTTTTTTATTGGCACAGATCATTGCACCAGAATGAATCAGTCAAGGACAGAACAATGACAAATTGGAAAATTGAATCACTAGAGATAATGATGACTTTAATAGGTCAATTCTATTATATTATTGTTATCAACTCAATACATAATGATATGAATGTTCTTTGCTTAGTGTTTATCTTATATTCATCTGCTGAGAATGAGGTAGATGTAATTTCATACATTATGTATCCTGCTTCTCCAACAAACTGCAGTATTGTTTACTTTAGTGTAACCAATTAGGAAAAAAATATATAATTTACTTTGATACAAATGATCCCAATGGCTCTCCCACTGGAAGATGCTTATTGTAAAGTTTAGAAATTAGTTTGTATTTATAAAAAGCATATTCTATACAGTTTGCTTTGCAAATTCATATTCTTTAAAAGTATGTTTCTGAAATTAAATATATTGACAATATTACCTCTGGTTAGTGTAATTATATATCTTTTCAGTTGAGAAGAACATCAATACAATTTTTGTATATTATGGTATTAAATTTTTCCTTGACCCTTGCACAAGTAGGCTGATATTTTTTTATTTATTTGCTAAGATTAGTTGTGAATGTAATTCAGTAAAATATATCTACAAAGGATTACTGAAAAGTGCTCAACCTGATGCAATTCTCCAAATTTTACTAAATAAACAAACATTAGAATTTTGAGCATTACTTAAAATAGATTGGGCCAATTGTAAAACATATGGAAAACTTTTAGGGGAAATAATTATTGCAGGTAAGCATTCTTTAGACCTTCCCTAGGCTGTGACAATTATTAGAAATGATACATAATATTGATACTGTATCAAATCGATCATTGAATTTTACAGACTTGTATACACTTAAGTTTTATTTAAAATTTCATTCTATGAAAAATGTGCATATGTCATTGATATCTGTATATGAAGACAAACTTTTTATTTTACAAAAACATTTCTTGTGTTTTATTTTTAGAAAATATTTTAAACAAATGAAATAGATTATTTTCCTTTTTATTACAAAAAGATTTTTTGTCATTAAAGAACAAACAGATATACACTTTCTTAAAGTAGTGACACATTTGTAACTGAATAATAAAAAACTTATATAAATTACCAAAAGTACAAAAATATGCTAATATCAATAACATATGCACGTTTTCAAGGCATGGCACTTTTAAATAAAAGCTAAGTGCAGATAACTTCACAAAAGTCATGGATCAATTTGGCATTGTATCAATCAGGACCCCTCCCTCATTCCTAAATTGATAAAAACATCAATATTTTTTTATTCTAACAAGTGTCTAACCTGAGTAATGCCTAAAGAATACTAATCTGCAAACATTGCTGCTTGGAAAATTTTACTCTTTTTCTTTTTAAATGTTGCTCAGTCTATTTCAGTAGTGATGGAGTTTGTTTAGAATCCCTTCTTGGCTGAGCCAAGGACTTTTCAACATCCCTTTTTTTCTATGACTTTTCTAAAGATAAATTTAATTCTTGTATTTAACAACAGAAAGTAAACATGTATGTCTTTTTTTACACTCTGATATTTGGTTATAAACACAAGCAAATTGTAATATGAATAAAATATTTAATAAAATATGACATTAGATTTCCAATTGAAATAGTTTACTATTGTTCAGATATTTCTCTGTATTTTTGTACTTTTACTAGTTTGCTGTCATCATCACATTTCAGAGATCACTGGCGTGCCATATTGAACTTTTATCTTTCATGGTATCACAGAGTGAGTTACTTGGTATTGGCAATATCTTCTCTAAGTATCATCTTTTAAATAATACTTGGCTTGTTGTAGTATGATGATTAATGATCTAGTTTTGCAAATTGTCTGTAGGATAATGAATTTGATCTTCACTAGATATGTCACTGCAATGGCCCTGAGCCAAATTAAGGTAATTTTAGTAAATAGTAAATGTGATAGGTAATAATGGATTACATTGTATCAGTAACAGACAATGTGACTGAAATTACTATTCTTTACTGGTTGATAAAACATTTCTTTCTCCTAAGTTTATTTCTTTAATGTATTAGTTGTAAGTTGATTAATACATTGTGAATGTTTGTTCACAATTACAAAATCTTCATGTTTTAATTTGATAATACTTAGCTAAAAAACAATTGACTTCCTTTTTTTGTTTTGGCAAAAAATCACTTTCAAAGGTACACTGAAGTGAAAGTGAATTCAGGTTTTTAATTTATATAATTTAGCAACTTTTAATAATTATAGTGGCTCTTTTGCTTGTCTTAAACACAGCATTAAAAATTCCATTTTCTTCCACACCTGCCAATACTTTCCAAGACAATGTTAAATATATAGTTATTATTTCTGTTGTGGAGTGATTTCACAGTGGAGGCTTGTATTTGTACTAAGTCGGTCCTAAAATAGGTCCAACATACAAAATGTTAGGAACTTGATATAATAGGTATAATGCAGAGTAATCTAGTTGTGGTCGCTGATACTTTCGTATTCGACTAACTGTCATCCGACATCGACTGACTCCCTCATTACTCTTACTACTCCTACTTATTATAGTTGGGAGAGTCTATTAACTATAGAATAGGTGTGTTCCACTATAACACCCCCCTCCTAAAACTTTACTCCATAGGGGTAAACAGTTTTCTTTATTTATTTTTTTACAGGAAATATGAAGAAAAAACAAAAAAAACTTCATTTTTTTAGCAACATTGTAGCGTATCTCCTATGTTTTGGCTCCACTTTTAAGTGATCAGTTGCCTTTCTTTTTTTCCTGGATCGGTGTACCTCAGGTAAAATTGTTGCAGCCATTGTTAGATCAAATGTATCGAAAATCACCTCCATCGGCGTTTCTTCCACGTCTGAAAAACGTCATCTGATCTGGCTACTGCACGTGAATTCTTCGCCTTTCACTAAATACATCATATTGCCAATCCGCTTTTCTATTTTTTGATACCTCCATAGTGTTACCTGAAACAACCTTCCGCTTTGAGCTTCTTAAGGATGGAGTCACAGTTTCTGTAGGTTCTTCTTGTGGTTCTATTTGTTCAGCCTCTAGCTTTCCTTTTGTTGATCTTGTACTTCTTAACGTTTTCTGTGGCGACTTCAGTTGACTTAAATCATTTAATAATACTGCATGTCCTTGGCTGTGGGTAACTCGCTCCCCAGTTTTTCTCAGTGTTGGCTTCATCTTTACTTTCTGGAGCTTTTTTTTCACGTATATCGTCGGTGTTACCCATTCACTATACTCAACTTTTTCAAGTACATCGGTTTTCTCTAATCTGTTCAATTCTTTATCTTTCTGTTCAATTGAGGCAAACGGCACATTCCTTTTCTTTTTGAATACCACCTGAGCGTTTTCTTTTAACTGGAATTTTGCCTCCATCTTTGTACACGTTCCCAAACCTGGAGAAAAAACAGTAGGAAATGTTCCCTTAAGTTTCTTTACTAATTTTTGGGCTTCGTAGTTTAAACTTTCTACTTTGTAACAGAAAGAATTTATCGGTAGATCACATAATTGGAATTCTGTTATCCAATTCATACCAAGTAAGTTTGTGGTATTTTCTATGACAAATAGTTTAGCTTTTCGCATTTTTTTATTTAACATGACGTTTGTAACAAATTCTCCAATAAATTGTATTTTTTCTCCCGTCACTGACCTCACGATTTTCTTTGTCTTCATTAAAGTTGGTTTCCCCAACTTCTTCTACGTATGCAAATTTATGATAGATAGGTCGGAACCAGTGTCAAGTTGCATTTTTATTTTTTTATTACTTATTTCGACAGTAACAAATTTTCTGGTTATTCCATCGTTCACCTCGTTGGACTTTAATTTTCTTATTTTATTGTCTTTATTTTTTGACCTGCAGTGTGAGCTTTTATGACCCACTCTTTTACAGTTGAAACATTTTTTATTCCTAAAATTGCAATATCTGTACCAGTGTAGTTCACCGCAAGCAAAACATGGCTTCAGGAGTTTTTGTTTATTTTTCTCTGGTATTTCACTTGATAATCCGCAATTTTAGAATTCTTTTTGGTAGACTGACTTTCTTTTTTGTAGCATATTTTCCTTACATGTGAAACACCAGACTGTTCTATCTTTTTTGAATCTTTCTTTACGCTAACATATCTTGTGCAGTCTTCTGCCAACTTCTGTATCGTAAGACTTGGATTGCTTTTCAATTTTGTCAGTACTAATTTTCTCAACTCTGTGTCTCTTTCTGATACCAGCCCTTGAACAAACACAAAGCACTTAAAATTGTCTGTGCTTAAGTCTGCCAGCTTGAATTCTTCACAATGCTTGTTCACATTGGCTGCGTACATTATATAGTCTTGTTTGTCATCTTTCATAAGATTCAAACATTTCCACCTCTTGTGAAACAGAGATGTCTTTTTACTAAATAATTCACTTAATATATTTACCACCTCAGTAAATGTCAACTCACTAGTTTTTTTTTGGTAAAATGTAGTTTACCAATTTGTTGCTCAGCAATTCCTAATTTGCTTAAAAGAAGCCTAACCTTTTTTCCTTCAGACCACGAGTGGCAGTCCTCGTTATACACGTCCGTATATTTTTTATAATACTCCTCAAAAGTTATCTCTTCATCTGGAATGT